GTACACGCACCGGCATAAATGCTGTCCCTATCCTTGTGAGGTGCACGCACACAACTAGAGTCCCTGTAGTTGTGTGCGTGCACCTCACAAGGATAGGGACAGCATTTATGCCGGTGCGTGTACTTCCTTCTGTGAAACGCTTGTGAAACGGAAGGAAAACACGCTGTACACGCAACTCGACAGAGAAAATTTGCCCTCGTACTCTTGGAAAGATTGAACTTCAGTCGGATGACGTCGCGGTCATCCATCGATCGTGCCCGACTTTCGATGTGTTGTCGCTCGCAGTATGCAGCTGTCGAGACGCGAGAGGATCTTTCGTACGATCGGACGGGATAATTGTGTCTCCAACATCTGATTTACGTTCGACGGTCAAATTTTCCCGTAACGTTTGTGAGAAGCATACGCCTTCCTGTTCGTATTAAGATCAATCGTATCGATTCAGCCGTCGTATGGAAAGAACGTATGTTAATTCAACTGCATTGCGGTTCTTATTTTCAATTTCACAATTTTTCTCAATTCTTCACCAATTACTTTTTAATATATTAAATTAAAAACAATTTAACTAGGAGAGAAATTTTCTACCTTCTTCCTCAAAGATTTTCAGATTTTATTTTATGCAAAGTTTGATAGAAAACTATTTTGCTATAAAAAAAAATATATATATATGTATGTATTTGCATATATTTAATACAAAAGTATAATACTCAAACAACTTCAATTTGTTAACTTTATTTAATATATCCCACCAAGTTTTCTATCGAATGAAAATAAAAGATTAGTACCTGCTGAATATCTGTTAAATTAAATCTATTAAATAAGATTACTTGGAAAATTGAAATTGAAATGAAAATTGGATTAATTAAAAAGGAAATTAAAGAGGACACTGAAAAATTTCTTTTCCGAGAAAACTCACGAAGCGTCCCCTGAGACAGGACCATCCCGAACAGCGTTAACACACTTCACTATACCCTTACCCACACGCGCACGCATGGACACGTGCGCGCGCCATGTATGCGTGCCCGCATGCGGAGATCCAACCGACCGAGCATCTCTCTCTCTCTCTCACAGGTGTTTCGTCTCGAGAACGGAGTGTAACTCCGATTTTCGCGAGGAGACGATGAGTCCGCGTACGTCCGGGATATTGAAAGCATCACGATGAGCCGCGACAACGACGATACCGGGATGCTGATAAGTTGCAACACGCTTCGCTGGACCTCCTAGAGATTCTCGCAATTGTGCAAACGGAAGAAAAGACGAGAGAGAGAGAAAAGGAAAAAGACGAGTCGTTCCCAACGTTACGTTGCATCTTGGCACGCGATGGAGCGTTACTTCGGGGAGGATTGTGCGTGCTTAGGGGACGTGCGTGTGCATGCGTGAGGTCGTCCAATCGTCTCTCTCGACGAGAAAAAGTCCATCGTGCCGCTGTTGCCATTTATCGTGCCATGCGTTCAATCGCCAAGCTACCGTTTGTCCGTTGTAAACCGAACGTTACTAATTAACGCCGGAATTGTTGTCAGTGCAACTGTCGGAATCACTTGTCGTCAGTTATAATGCGAAGGTAGTGCCTCGTTAAATTTTACCTTGCAACACACGTGTATGGCTCACCCACCAATAATTGTACTGTGCGTGCTTGGAGTTCTGGATATTATAATTTGAGTCACTCGACGTCGCTCCTGACAGTCATTCTTTGTCCACTTAAATATTTATACAATATTTATACAATACACAATTCTTACAAGTGGCTTGTGATACTAAACAAACTGTCAATTCATTTGTTACTTGATATAAAACTAATGCAAGTGTTAAGTTTATCTCCGACGTTACATTATCAAGAAACATGTGAACTATGAACCTTATCGAATCATTGCACAAGTGTTAATTCAATTCTCTCTCGTCGAAATTGAGGCTGGGACAGATAAAAGATCTTGCATTAAGAGACTTAGATGCAAAGTGGTAGCATAATGAGCGATATTACGATATAGAAAATACATGTTATGCACAAAACACATGCCATATCTCATTTCAAAAATATATGCGTATTACAGGCGATATCGATGCAGTTTAAAAGAGCGCCCAGGATAATATTATCGGACTTCGGAGTTCAGCAGGATAAGCGGCAGTATTGAAATTAGCGGCAGAAGAAAAATATTCTCGGTATCTACACCTGTGATATTTAGTAGCAATACATCACATCATTATCACGTATATGTCGTATATTATGATAAGCAAACGCCGACATCCGCCTCGTACAGTAGCCAACAGCACAGCAGTGCTCTTTGATGTCAGTCTCGTATGTCAGCTTGAGTTGGTATCAATGTCATTCTTATAGTAACAATTATATATTTTCACATGTAAGAAAATATGTCTTTAGCACTAAATAACTTTGTTAACTTGTTTAGACTGAGTGATGTACATTAATTCTCCCAATCGCATTACGTCGCTTTCCAAGTAAATTATGAAAAAATAAACTGCGCTTTACCAATTCATTCTGACATATCATAGATGTTTTATTTTAACTTTGTAATTCTTTCATAATATATATATTCCACAGAACGACAAAAGCAATGCCCGCGCTTCCGAATAGACGAGAAATAAAATTCGTGCACAATAGAGAATTATATTGCACACATTTGTACTTATTCAGTCCTAATTGATCTAAAGCTGATGACGTTTTATACTTTACAGAGATAAAGTGAACAAACATGAGGGTTACGGCGTGTCATTTTCGTCGCTGCATAATAGCAGGACTATCTATAGCACTCCTATTTTGCGTCGTACAAGTGATACGAATAGAGTTAGGATTTAATGAGTCTGACATGTCAAATTTAAACAAATTGTGAGTGATATTTTTCATGTTCTTACTTCAGTGCCAAAGATGTTCATGTACATTTGTACAATCTGTAAACTTTAAATACTTTCAGAATGTATATATCACAATTGATCAAAGAGTCAGAGCAGTCTTATGTGAGGTACGTATTCTCCCTTCAACAAGTGAGCTCACACAATTGCACGCAACATTCCAATTAATATTTTGTACTCGACATAGATTCTGTTAAGAAAGAAGCAGAGCGGTCATCACACTTTACATGTGTTTTATATATATATATATATAATTCCGATTATTTATTTATTTATATATTGACCATTTTTTTATTAACTGTACAGAGACGGCATTGTTGCTTGCAAGTTACCTCAGTTAAATATCTCTAGTCCGGAAATAATGAAGTTTATACATGACGTGCCACCCTTATCTTGTGGACCAGAAGACTGGGTTATAGTGGAAAATTCAAGGCTTGTTATTACTAATAAAGCGAAGGCGAAGCACGGACAAATAAGATGCATCTTCAGTGGTAAGTTAAAATAATATTCCCTAAAGACTTGTTACGTGAATAAAGTATTCTCGCAATGATTTTCGTTAATTAACACGAGATTATTACAATTATTTAATATTATTCTGTTTATAGTGATTCCGTACTGTTATATTTTTCAGAAATTATCAGAACAGATGATTACAATACAAAGTTATTGGACGGTATAGAAGCTGATGATTTCTACATTCTGAGAGAGAGCGATTTTGCAGACGTCAACTGCAAGTCGAAGAGTGGAGATGTGTTAGTTAATTTGCTCATTTACTTTCAAGAAACGTAGCCTAAAACTGTTGTCCTAATGGTAGTGAATATGTTTAGGTGGCACAGTACACTCGCTGGTGTAAAATACGACCCGTATATCAAGCAGAAGCACAATTGGGAGAACGTACCAAGTACAGGCATGAAATTAAACGTGCTTATGTTTGGCTTCGATTCGCTGTCACGAAACACGTTTATTCGCAAGCTGCCTAAGACATATAGTTTCATCAAACAACTGGACGCTCTGGTGTTAGAGGGATACAACATCGTGGGGGATGGCACTCCGCAGGCGCTTATTCCAATTTTAACTGGCAAGATTGAGCTTGAATTACCGGAAACGCGGAAACGAATTCAAAAAGCAAATTACGTTAACGTATATCCAATGATATGGAATAAATACGAGGAACACGGATACATAACAGGCTTTATGGAAGATGTACCGCACATCGGGACGTTTACTTATCGCCTGAAGGGATTTGACAAGCAACCGACTCACCACTATATGCGCACCTATTACCTAGCCGCCTCTTCATACTTCAAATCATATAATAAATACTGTATAGCTGGTACTTCACGCCACATGGTGCGTATTAAGTGCAATATGAATTTACTGATAAGATAAAAAAAAGAGACATCTCCAAAATCGATTTGTGTTAAATAACAATTTAAACTCGATAAGGCTACATGTTATTAGATCAATTTCTCCTCAATTTATCTTTGTTAAGTCTTCATTTGTTCTTGTAATCATCGAGGGATATGTATTTATGTAGGTGATGATGAATTACATAAAAACGATATTCAATGCACATAAAAAGCAGCCAAAATTCGCGTTTGGATTTCATGGAGAGCTTTCCCACGACTCTTATAACGATATCGGAGTGGTGGATGACGATTTGTATTCTTGGGTAAAAGATCTTCACGATCTTGGGCACTTAAACAATACTATATTAATTTTGATGAGCGATCATGGACACAGGTTTGAATGTCTCTTATATGTAAATGGTATTTAACGATCTGTATCTTTTCACTTCATTCACACGCAAGCATTATTTCTGTTTTACAGGTTCGCAGATATTCGTAACACTTTGCAAGGCAAACAAGAGGAAAGACTGCCGTTTTTCTCCTTCACTTTTCCACCCTGGTTCAAGCAAGCCTATCCACAAGCATACGCAAACTTTGTATACAACACACAATACTTGACAACACCATTTGACATACACAAGACGTTGGAGAATATACTTAACTTTGATACACCAAAAGATGGAGATCGTCGTCAAAGAGCTATCAGTTTGTTTGACAAGGTAAGTTAATGCCAAAAATTAATACACCGACTTTATTTCGTTAGGTTCTAATAATAGTGCCACAAGCATGAAAGAGAACTCGCCAAATGTGGCATTTTATCTTTATTTGCAACAAGAATAAAAATCATTATTGTATGTACTTTATGGGTCTGTTCTTTATAGCTCAGTGGCTGCACCAGTTTCGAGTTTATCTTTCTTCTTCTAATGTGTAGGAAAACAGATAAACTCTGAATTGGTGCAGTAAGGTCAGCTGTAAAGAACAGACCATATATCCGATTAAATTCAATAAAATAATACCAATGTTAATCATTTGTTAAACACATAACTGCATGTTCATTACAGTTGTTAATAAATAGTTTAATTTAAATGCGTTATAACTAAATGCGTTCTTTACTAAAATTGGAAATATTGGAATTAAGATTGAATCTTATTATTATTCGTAGCAACATGTTTAATTCTTACGAATTTGGGATAAGATGTCAACATCTGTTTTTTTAAAACTGTAATATAAAATTATATGCTTATTTTATAAAACAAAGGGATTTTTTAACGTTTTTTGAATAAACCCAAATTTTTTATCAAGTTTATAATATTCGGATAACTAGTAATTCTTGTGATGCAAGTAATTCTTATAATGCAACAGACTAATACTAATAAAAACAGACTAATAAATTAGTCCTTATTATGTAGTAGTTCTTTTAAGTAATTGTTGTAACTTTAATTACAACGCGAAACGTTGACTGACTCATGAATGTCACGCAAGAATGTGTACTACCTAATGTTCTAATAACAGTAATTCGTGACACGCAATACGACTCCAAGAATATTTTACAGATACTTACAAATGATTCCCGAAGTAAAACATTATGCATATACATATCGAGGTCAATTGAATTTTTTAATCTCGAAAGTAATCAAATCTGAAGCTATATATGAATAAAATTCTGCATGAAAAAAAGATTACAATTAAAAAAAAAGTTATCAACAAAGATACATAACTTTTATTTTATTACGATATTGTAAACAATTAAATCCTTTTATGAAAACAAATAAGGCACGACAAATACCATTTGATACTTTTTTTAGAACTGACGTAAGCACGAAACACTTTATCTGGACTCATTAGTCATCATTAAGCTAACGTTTTATCGAGTAGTCGAATCTTTTCGAAAAAGTCCTTTTCAATGTGAAATAATGGACTGATGATTCGACTAAGATGTTTCAGAAATAGATAAATTATCAGGAACCAATCACTTAAATTTTCTTGGATTCGACAATATGAAAGATTAGCGGACCAAGTATCTCCATGAAAAAAAAAACACAGTAAACAAATTAATGTACAAACACATGTCCATCGCAAAGTCATGCACAGATACAATTTTTATCTCAAGTAATTGTCCCGAGAAAGAATTTCGAGAACTTTGGGTAAAACTTGAGAAACAGATAGGCCGCGGAACGTATCACTTGTGGTACGCCACGAGCTCTGAGTAATACTGGTGAAAGAAATGTACATTCACATAGATATCCCCACTACTCTATACTTCGTTATCATTCGCCTGTCGATTGAATCACTCCTTTTTACTCCGAGATATCCTTCCCCACTTTACGATTAGCAAAGCGCGATCTCCAACTCCTGTTAGAAATAGCAAATAAACTGTAACGATATAATTAAGAAATTTGCAACTTTCTGCGCGCATTCTTAAGTGCGTGAGAAAAAAAGTTAAACTAATGCGATACTCTTTATACAGGTGCCTCTAGATAGAACATGCGCAGATGCGTTTATAGAGCCGCATTGGTGTGCATGCCTCGGGTGGAAAGAAGTCTCAATTGATGATACTAATGTTGTGGCGGCTGCCAACTACTTTGTTCAATTTCTGAATGGTTACACGGAAGAGCATCACAATATATGCGCGATACTGCACTTGGACGAGATTTTGTGGGCTGCTAAGCTCATACCCACTAAAGGTACGATATATGCAAAATGTATCATTTATCATATTATTTATGAACAAACTTAATGCCCGTGCTATTTCAGGTTTACTTAATTTCCGAAAATCCGGAGATCAAGACGGCTTTATAGGTGATTTCAGTGCCAAAACCAAAGTAACGACTGAAATTTATCAATTGAAAGTAAGAACGGTACCGGGTAACGCGTTGTTCGAAGTTAGCATTATTCAGGATCTTGCGAAGAACACTTTCCATACTAAGGTAAGTTAAAGAAAACGATTTGACTGAGGGAGACAAGTATTTTATGACAAACGATGTCGTTGTCTTGTTACAGATCTCCGATGTTAGTAGAATTAATATGTACGGGTCTCAGGCGAGGTGTGTGGAAAACTCGCTGTTTCATTTACGCAAATATTGTTATTGCAAGGAATAGATGACGCTTACGTAGCATAATTTTCAACGTTGTCCACACAGGGACAGCATCGAAACATCAATCAAAAGAACTCTCGATTGTAGGGACGTTATTTAATTTTAAACAAAGGTGCTGTGATTAATATCCTTTTCATTTTTGCTATACAAAGCTGCACATACTAGACTGGTTTTATATTTATCTTAATTGATCGAATTATTTGCCGATTTTAATTTACCGCTGAATTTACCGGTGAAACATACTTTTGGAGAAATATCATATGATACATATCACTTCTAATTGTAAGAGTTCTCATTTTTATCACAGTAGCAATTATACAGGCAAACGGCGTGTTAATTCTAGAATGCAAGATACTTTACGTGTTTTGCATATATGCAAAAGATATCAATAAATTGTTACTTTTGCATGATATCGCCCAAGATTATAATGCATAATAATGATGTATACATATAACATGTAAATAATAATCTTCGGCGATTAGTTATAATTTTCGAGTTATTTAGAAACTCTGTAAGATGCATTAACGTATGCATTTCCAAATTTTTGTTTGGAAATAATCCATGTGTGCCAACATATTGTAATACTAATTGAAATTGTAATAGTTCCAAATTTTTCAAATATATTTTTTTTAGAAATTATATTGAATTATCTATTTTATTTTATTTTTTTTCACAATGAAAACAATATTGTGCAGATAATAACGATAGTATGGGGAGGGTGATTCTACCTATATTGTAAACTGTAAAAATAAAAGGCTCGTAACGCATACAAACAGAATACAGTAATTAACATTTAGGAAATATTACTTATAAGATATCTTTTATTATAAGATCTGTATGATAACACATAAACTAAATATGTATGCTAGTCATATCTAAGTCACATAAGGACGGGCTAATTCTTATTCAAACAAAATATTCACGAGAACAAGACGCTTTAAAAATATAAATATTTTATAGAGCGATTGCTATCGTGATTTACTGTATACTTACACTTAATGTCTCTAAATAAAACAGATTCTTGTAATCTTTATATGCAAATTTCACAAGTGTTACGCACTTATATATTTGTATATTCGTGGACTGTAATATGATCATACATACGCATAATTTCTGTGAATGTCGATGTATTTTACAACAAACTATTTATTTAAAAAGATTTAAAAAATAATAATTAGTCAATATGTGCGATAATTATGTGATCGAAGAAAGACTTGAATCGTTTTAATTTTTGATGGAATATAGATTGGGTTTAATATTAAAAATGAAATTGAATCCTATCTAATGACAGCTTTTTTATCATTTTTATGATGAATGGAGTGACTTGTGTAATTCGTATATGTGTAAAAATTACGTGCATGCGTAAAACGATAATATTTTAATTAAATAATTCTTTCTATATACGATAAGAAAATTGTATGTAATTAAATTATACGGAAGAGCATACAGAGATAAATATACTTAAGCTCGTTTTGCAATTGAATAAATTATCTTATATGAAACGCAAAGAATATATTATTGATATGTGTTATCATGAATTTAGTTTACATATATGAGATTTAAATAAGAATATATTAAAATCTCCAAATAGAAGAAAATATATCTGAGAAGAGCGATTAATTAGAATGATATAAGAGAACAAAGTACATACTATAATATCAGGTTTAATCTGCAGGGCAGTACCCACCATATTGATGTATAAAAGTCGTGATTTCGTGAGAAGTAGCGTCTATCAATAGAAATGCAATATTTTGCCTGTTGCTGGAATCAGATGGAAAGTAGTCTTGGTCTTTGCCATCCTTGGCTACTATTTCTAACACTAAAGTGCTTACGAACAAATCATTTGAAGTATTCTGTTTCTCAACTCTAGAAGGAATATAATATTTAATTTCCATATTTTTAACTTATGCTACACTAAATTTTAATAAATATTAACCTTATGACATCCTTATAGATAGTTTTAGTAACATCGAGGTACGGTTGCAGTGCATCTTCGTACTGACATAATGTTCCACCAAGAACGAACATTTGAAAAATTCGGAATGCAAACTCACGTTTCTCGTCTTCCGAATATAGATTGTATTCTTCTGACTCTTCATCCAGAAGCATCTGAAAATTATGGAAGTTAGAAATGACATATTAGGAACATCTGACACATACATGTATCAAAAACATATATGTGTCAAAAATATATACAATAATATTGCAAGCAAGTGAAAAAATCACAGTTAATTTCAGATGAAAATGTCTTACACCACGCAGATTGTCAGACACCAGAAAATCTTCTACTTGCAAATCATATCTTTTACAGATCATCCCAGAATTATTCACAATCCCGTTATTCGGATCCTTCAGTTTATTGAAGAACGACATATTTAAGACTGAACATGGCACTTGTTTTACCTGCACATTTGATGCTCGTATACCTAACGAATATTTTTAAAAAATTCAAATAAATTCTAAATAGTAAATCATGAACAACTATTTCTTAAATTTTTACGAAACTTGAGAAATTTCTTATGAATAAATAAAAATTTCCTAAAAATTGCAGATATTACAATACCTTGCTTTACCCAGGCGCAGCCTTGTTTGGACAGCAGTGCTTTTGCAACAGTATCATCTTTAAAAAACGCCTACAAAATTATGAACTTTAGTGAAGGATACAAATTATATAAAAATTGATTGAACGGTTTCAAAGTTTCTTTACATGTTTTTACTCTGATAAATCAATAAATGTAAATCTTTTCTGAAACAAAAAATTTACTGTAATATTTATATCTGTCTGTTTCTCGTTATAATGATGACGTGATTAAAGAAAGATCCAAATTGCAAATTTATTCAAATTTAAAGATCATTGTACAATACCGAAGAAGCAATATTCATTCTCATTATGAGAGTAAAAACTTACATTAGCGAGCTGATATTTATGATACTGCTGGAACGATTCGTTGAATGAAAAATTCTGGATGACAAAATTCCCCTTTATGCCCCTGAAAACATGATTTTTAATATACCACTCATTGAGTTAATTAGAGAATTATCTATGTGCATTGTAAGAATGGTGTTAACTAAAATATCAATGTCACCATTTACACAGATATTCCTGCGTATTTTTGTCGTTAATCCCGGTGTAGATTTTTTCATTCAACGGCACGAACGTGAATTTCGGATCAATCTCCATTTTTACACACCTGCGATCTCCATGGAGACAACACGTGTGTGTGACTTGTTTAGAGTGGCTTGCATACCGACATTCGCAGGCACGTAATATATGAATAAGTAAATATTAATAATACTTTAGGCATCATCTGTTGGTTCCACCATGAATTTATTCCCCTTGGAGTGAAATCTGTTTGGTGGAAAATTGATTATTAGAACGTGTAATCGTTGTGAAAAAAGATTTGTGATTGAATTTGGACGTTAAAAACGTTAAAAACGTTAGTAGGTTTACTATCTCATATTAGAATTCTATCTCATAATAGAGGACTTTCCTCTACATTTAAAAAAAAATTTGATTAGGGAAGAAAATTTTGTTCGGTACTCCTTCAAAATATTTCAAACATTTTCCAACTTCATTTAAAATGCAAAACTTAATGAATAATTCGCATGAAAAATAGTGATTTGTATAAATAATTTGTATAAATTATATATACATTCAATGGGTCAAGCGCTGCGTTTGCCGCAAAAATTCAAAATTAAATGGACACAGCGACAGAGGTCCTCCCCTCCACGAGCGTCTGCCATCCGTTTCCTGTCACGAAGAAGACACGCGTGCACACATACGTCGTTTGCTCCAGTCGCAGAATGTCCGACGTACGAGCAAGATTTTAATTGCCGCAGGCTGATTCGAGTCTACATCTCTGTATTGATTTTTGACATCGATGCGCGTTTACAGACAGTGATGTGTGACCCGAATGGATAAAAAATAAGGATCGCGAGAGGATCATGGCACCTAACCAACGTCAACGACAGCTCGTTTTGTCAAAGAAAGAATTGAAAAAGATCAATGGAAGAAGATTCTCAAAGTACATACAACGTTCTCCTCTCTCTTTAGATTTTATAAATTGTCATACGAAATGCTTGTCAACTGGGACCAGCTGACCTGTCAGTCGTTATCGCTAGAGCAATAATAAATGTGCAATGAGCGACAAAAGCATCTGCTGTTAGAGCTCACACATTTTATATATTAATTTTGCAATATATTCGATATCAAAACATTTCATCTCCACGACTCAAAGTATACAAAATACCTGAATCTTGAAAGAAAAGAAGGATCTTATACTCCGTATGTCTTTGTACTCTATTTTTAATTGAATATTGCAAATAGCGATTATGTGCAAGAGTCGTGTGCATTTACGCTGTTATTTCCTTTAATAATTGTATCTTGCGAGTTTTATACGGAAAGCAAGGTCCTATTCTAAAATTCATTCTAAAATCTGTTCTAAAAACTGATCTGTCCCAGGAAACATGACATGTTATGTATATTCAAATATGAATATAATGTGAAGAGAAGCAGACGGCAAATAATTAAGCGATGTTTTAGGCCGGACGAGTCTTCCAACATGGGACTTGCTTATCCTAGCTATGATACAGCTTTTAAACTGCTACTATTGGCAAGGTTTTGCTCGGCTATATGGTGTCACATAACAGACTGTGATGAAACATACAATTACTGGGAACCAGTGAGTTTGTAATATATAGTTCAATCCAGTGCAGTACAGACTTGAAAATATTATACTTATGGCTACGTATATTGCATCTGATTTTTCTTTAAGAAATGTGGACAATCCCACAAAGAACTAAAACCTCTAATGGATGTCCATTAGACGTTTGTCGTGGAGATTTGGAATGCGCAGTAGATGTCTATTAGACATCCAATAAAAGGCCACTAAACGTCTATAGTTTCGCTTTGCATACGTCCATTGGACCTCTATTAGGCGTCTTTAAAGATATCGATTGTCGGTTAATCGTCTACCAAGGTGCCGCGTATCCTTTATTAATGATCCACAGAATGTCGGATGGTCATCCGACTATTAATGATCTGTGTAACATCTAGTGGATATCTTTAAAGACGTCTAATAGAGGTCTAATGGACGTATGCAAAGCGGAGACATTTAAATTGAAATTTGATCAATAAAAATCAACAAGTCTAAGATTAGTAAACGTCGCTTCGATTAGTAAACTTTCATTCAACCTCACTCTCAATCAATCCGTAATCTGATAGAGTTAGACATCCATGGAGCTATGGAGGTTTAATGGATCTAAAATGGATGTCTATCTGACTTTCACCATGGAGATAGATATCCATAGAATGGAGGTCTCTCTTGACCGTGGAAATCAGATACATATCCATTAGAGATCTCTTAATGGATCTCTGATGGACGTCTGTTTGACTTCTACCATATAGATATCCATGAAGATATGGAAGTTTCATAAATCTCTAATAGACGTCCGTCTAACTTCCACTATACAGATAGATATCCATGGAGCTATGGAAGTCTCATAGATCTCTAATGGACGTTTATCTGACTTCTACTATAGAGATAGATGTCCATGGAGATATACAGATTTCATGGATCTCTAATAGATGTCTATCTGATTTCCACCATGGAGATAGATGTCTTATGAAGGTTTCATGAATATCTACTGGATGCCAATTTCTATGTGGGGTGTGATAATTTTTTTTTTTTTTGCAAAGTCTGTTTCCAACACATTTTACTATTTGAGGCAATAAGAGCGCGACAAGTTCTTTCGTTCTTTGATACTTTTAATAGATATAACATACTTTGATGCAATGCATTTCACTATATCTACATTATGTCCTTTCTCAGAGTCATTACTTGCTCTACGGAACGGGCCAGCAAACGTGGGAGTACAGTCCTGAATATGCCTTACGTTCATATATGTATCTACTAATTCACATGGTACCAGCAAAAGTTTATCATTATCTATTGGAACCAAATCCCCTACTAGTTTTCTACTTCACACGATGCTTCCTGTCTGTGGGTTGCACATTGTCCGAAGTATACTTTTACAAGTACGTCTTTCCTTTGAAGCTAACACCTGCACAGCAGAGATCGATGTGTCACTTTTCACAGCGTGTAACACTTTACGTTTTCCAGGAACGTGTGTCGAGAATTCGGAATTCACGTGGCGAGACTTACACTGGGGTTCCTTATTCTCAGCTCAGGAATGTACATCTCCAGTGCCGCATTTTTACCATCGTCCTTTTCGATGTGGGTACAGTTACAAGATAAGAAATGTATTCGCATCTCTCTCGATAAGCAATTCATCTGTACATTACATATTTGTCACAGGTATCTGAGTACTGTTGCTACTGCAGCCTGGTACGCTCGCCAATATGAATTGGCTATTTTTGCTACCGCCATCTCTTCGTTGCTTGGATGGCCATTTGCTGCGCTGCTCGGGTAATTTTTTACACTAACAGAATACTTTTGGCACGATATATATCGTAACAAGGAGTGAAATAAGGAAACTCATTTTTCTTGTCTCACTTTACAGACTTCCTATTGCCGTTGAGATGTTAACACATAAACGACGCTGGATCAAATTCATAAAGTGGGTCATTATATCTGCTGTTGTAATTGCGATACCAATGGTATGGGTGGATTCCTTGTACTTCGGCAAACTTGTCGTCGCGCCATTGAACATCATATTCTACAATGTGTTCTCCAGCCATGGACCTAATCTTTATGGCACTGAGCCGTTCAGTTACTACATCATCAATGGGTTCTTAAATTTCAATTTCGTCTTTATTGGCGCGTTGCTCGCACCCTTGGGTCTAGTAAGACTTTTGATAGTTTATACTTGATACGTGCAAGATGCCTCAAAAGTCGCGCACTTTCTGTAAACTGCATATTTTCCGGTGAAATTTGAACGATTCTCTTTCAATTTCAAAGCCGGACTAAATATTGTTATATGTACTTTTTTATAAATTCTTTTACTATCGACACTTGAAATTTCTTAAGAAAGAAAATTTTTTAATTGGTGGCAACGACTTAAAATATGCATCTTTACAGAAATTATTCAACAAAGTCATTCAATTCTTAATAGATCATTATATTGAATCAACTAGAAGTGCGCGACGATTGCAATATCTTGTATAACGCGCGATATATTTTGGCAATGTTTTAACTACAATAATAGGTTTTAGTGTGGCTGATCGTGCCGGCACGTCCAAGATACCGTTCACCTCTTCCTTACTGGTATTCATTGGCTCCTTTATATCTGTGGATACTCGTATTCTTCCTTCAGCCACATAAAGTACGTACCAAATAATTAGTAACAGTGCTTTCAAGAGAAAACTGAATACATTTGAACATTGCATTTCTGCAAGGAACGCTGAAAATTGTTTAGTTTTCCTCAGTATTCGATTGTTCAAATGTGCCTCTGATATCTAACAAATTGATCCATAAAATAAAAAGCAGAGGAATTGACGAAATAAATGTGTCAACAGGAGGAACGGTTCTTGTTTCCAGTGTACCCTATGATTTGTTTGGCAGGCGCCATAGCCGTGGATATCGTGCAGAAGTTATACTTTTATGTCAGAACGAAATTTAATCCATCGCATATTAGTTATCACTATTTACAATATACTATGCATATTACCGTTCTGGCGATACTAACGTGTGGCCTCTTGGGACTATCAAGATCATTGGCGATATATAAAGGTATCATACGCGAGGGACTACCTCTGTTTAAATAATAGGGCCTCTCTTCTTCACTCTTCAAGAATTGCATGGGTCTTAGATATCAGAATAAAGATTATTATTATGCATTAGGATATTATGCTCCCATGGAAATGATGACTGAAGTTAACAAACTGGGAATGGAAGGCGAGGTACCTAGCGACGTTAATATAAACTTTTGTATTGGAAAAGAATGGCATCGTTTCCCAGGCAGTTTCTTCTTTCCTTCTAACAAGTGAGTGGAAAAATTAATTCGTAACAGAACTTTGCGAGTCCAGAAATTCTTATCTGTGTACACGTAAAGTGTCATCAAACAGATCCCTGATTTAAACATGCGATAAAGTAATATCCCAATTTGATGTAACTACCTTATTCCTATACAAATATTTTTCAGTTGGAAGTTACAATACTTGAGATCAGAATTTAAAGGACAATTACCTCAACCCTTCTTGGATCATGAAAACGCAACAAGTACAATTCAAGAGCATTTTAACAATATGAATAGAGAAGAACCATCGCGCTATGTAAGTACCTATTTTATACGGGTCATAGGGGCACCGATATTATCTGTTGCTTAAGTAATTATAATTAAATTGCAATTAAAATCCTGTAAGCTAATAGTCCTGTAACTAAATTACACAGGCAATACCAATTCTGTTTTCTGCTTTCAGTTTAATCTAGATAAGTGCCATTTTCTATTAGATCTGGATGTAGAAACTGAAACAGCTCTAGAACCGAATTATTCTCGTTTAAGTCAACATTTTACTATTGTTAAATCTTCTAAATTTCTAGATGCATCAAAGTAAGTACAAAATGTTTATTAACTTATCTATGCTGACCACAAATAACGAGTTATCTACTTCAATGTCTGATGTATTCTATCATTTACATTGCAGATCGCATCCATTCTTCAGAGCTTTTTACATTCCCTTTGTATCTTATAAGTTTTGTACATACGGTTCATATAATTTATTACAAAGTAATAAGTTTAAATCCATTCTTTTGTCATCAAAGCAGAAGAATGCCAAGTTTTAAGCAAAAGGCAGAGAATTCTGGCACAAGTTAATACAGTTGATTTGATGTGAGAAAAATTAAATCTATTATTTTATACATCATTTTAATGACGCATATGTTTATTAATGTATATACAGAGACGACACGTGAATCTGTATAAGAGAGGTTGACTCATAGACTCATAGTTGACTCACTTATGAATCTTAGGTCCAATTCTGGCTGTCACATCCCGTATTCATTTTGGTTTTGTAAGAGGATTCAATAATTTAAGTTCAGTGAAAGAGTATTCGGAGGAAGAGCGCAACGTCGCAACTATTAAATTCACCGCTTTTTTTTGTGAAAGTACAATAATTGGCTATCGCGTTGTTTCCTACCACGCGCCAAGTATCGGAGAGATAAGGAGGAAAGACAAAAAGTGCAGAACGTTCAACCACAAAGAACAGGCTTACACTGTCAAACTTGCTGCGCTTAAAATGAAACAGGAGCGCTATTAGCGAGAGAAAGAAAGGGCGACAGGTACAGAAAGTTCAGCTACAAGCAGCAGATCTATTGATTCGTCTACGAGAAATATGTGTGCACATCCGCTCGTAAGAATAGATCTATTCTTTTTAGTTCAATTTCCTGCACCGGCCGCACCGTTTTCTTCACGTCGGGAGAAGAGGAAAGATGAACGGTACAAGAAGCTCAGCTAAAATGAACAGACCTAAAGCCCGTATCGGACTACGGATTGAGATTAGATTGCAATTTGCCAATCGAAGCCAAGTTTACTAATCTCGAGCTTGGTAGATTTTGCTCAGATTAGCCAAATTTCAATCTAATTTTAGTTACGCATTCTTCTTCTCCTACCTTTTAATTAAAAGAAAGGGAGAAGAACGCTCTGAAGTATTTGCACCATCAAAATGAACCGCAGCCTCAATCCGAAACGGGCTTTACATCGCGAATGCGTGCAATAAAGAATTAAAGAAATTCTCCGTGGTTTCTTTCTCTTCACCCCTCCTCTCTGTCTCCTTGCCTGCTACTCCGTGTTGCCAGAGTGAACACATCTGTACAAATACTTATTGCGACACTTGTTTTTAAATCGGCAACCTACGCGTCCGAATGAACGCGAGCAAATAGATCTCGAAGCTCCAAGGGGAGAAATTTGGTAAAGAGAGGAAAGACAGGGAGAAAAAGAAGAAAAATTCCTTTCCAAGGGGAGTTTCCTTTCCCGCTCGAGTTGAATGTTTACACCGAATCGGAGGTGGCTTATCTGGTATCTAATCGCCGTCATGTAGCGCGCTCGCCAGCTCGCCACCTGCCAGTCGCAGTTAAATACTCCGCAGCAGGGGTGCCGTACGGTGTCGATGTGTCGACTGTGACATCGCGGGAGAGACCGAGAGAGCGGACCGAGTGTACCGAGAACGTGGGGATGGCAGCGAAGATCGACGGCGACGAACGACCGCAATGCAACAAATTTTCACAGGGCATTGAGGTGTTCGCCAATTTGAAAAATGCGCAGACCTTCGCCCTAGATATCGGTAAGTTTCGTCGAGCCAGCAGCCCTTCCGCGGCTCCCGATCTCTCGGGAGGTTAACGCGACGAGGGATCAAATATTATGTTCAAGTCGGAGCACGTTACAACACTGTAACGTGATTAATACAGAACGGCGCGCTATTACATGCTAAATTATGCAGCTACGCTCCGACTTGCGTAATTGTCGGGTAAAAGGAGGCATAAATTAACAAGTGTCTCGCAGTTACGTCTTTTCAGCAACCTTCTTTCCCGCGAAGTTATTCTGCTAAGCGTTTTTCTTATGAAAACGTTAATGGTAGAGGGCAAAACAGCACGGACGAATTTATATTAGAGTTATTTGTATGGCATTTTCTAACTTTTTACGTCTCTAGGAAAAAGGGATAAATTGTGGGAAATTAAGTAGCAATGTTATAAAAGATGTAACAAATATCGTCGTATTTACGATAATATTTGTCCATTACATAACGTTAGTTGATAAATCTGAATTAAGTTGTTATTGTTTGTATTTTTTATGTTGCCTGTTTTTATTGTTTAAGTGATTTCTTATTATTGCGTGTTATCTAAATTATTTTCATTGTCTAAATTAAGTTAGATATACATTATTGTGTTTCATTTCAGGACTATCTTTAACCAAAATTGCCTATTGCTCAACAGTAAGTTATCGCCAGTTACTTTATGAGGATGCAGAAGATCCACCGAACAGTGAAGAACCAACGAGCATGGTATTCGATAGTAACAGACTGCATATCGTTAAATTTGAGACTAAACATATCGAGAAGTGCTTAGATTTGGTCAAGAAAAATTTAGTGGACGTTGAACGATTTCGTGGGAAGAGTATTAAAGTTACCGGAGGTGGAGCGTTAAAATATACTCCGTTGCTGCAAGAAAAACTAGGATTATTGTAAGTGTACTCAGTGCACAGAGCTTGGTATCTTCTTTTAAAAAATATAGTTACGGATACAGATACTATCTGTACGTGCATCTTTCGCTGGAAAAACACTTCAGTGCATTTATATCTAAATCGGAGAAATTAAAAAACTGTAACTTGTGTCGGTAGCTTTGATGAAAAAAAGTCAAGATACCAAGCTCTATTCGTGCATCTTGAACTTTGCGTTCGTCAACCAAATTTTCAACATCAAATGCAACCTGAAATATTCAAGTTCGTGTAGCTGAATTTTTGATAACACGGAGCTCTTCAGAGACTGTGTTTACTGATTGATAAGATAAAATTCTAGAGTCGACAAGGAAGACGAAATAGGCTGTCTGATAAAGGGATGCAATTTCTTGCTTAAAAATATACCATTCGAAGCATTTGAATACCACCGACATATGACTCCAGAATATGAATTTCAAAAAGTTGGACCTAACATATTTCCATATTTGCTGGTTAATGTCGGTAGTGGCGTCAGTATTCTTAAAGTAAGCAGTAGATATATAGTACATTTACTTGTAGCGAATTCGGTTGCATGCACTAGTGCGCACCGAGTGCAAAGTCAATTCTTATATTTAAGAATCGTCTTAAACGTCTCTTGAAATATTTCGTAGCCAGTAAAATGATCTGTATAGCATCCATACGGATCAGTTTTTGGCTAAATACTCTTTGAACGTGTATTTAAAGCAAAGTTAAATATACAAATTGACTATAAACAAGCCTTAGTGTGCACTCAGTGCGCACTAGTACAAGACAATAAGTTATTCTACCTAGGTTTATTTATTTTAAGAAAATTTTTACATTATTTTTTTTAGGTGGAATCAGATGACGTATTTAAAAGAGTCGGAGGTACAGCTACAGGAGGAGGTACATTTTGGGGATTGGGGTCATTACTTACGAAAAGAAAGGTAAAGTGATTTCTTAGATTACACCCATAATTTCTTTTTACTACTGCTACAACAAAATAGACATTAATTGAACTGTGGATTATGTTTAAGCTTTATAAAAATCTAGAAATGAAATTGATAAAATGAATTACTATTTGAGAAGATTCTGCTCTGTGGTAGTACCATTGAGTCATGTAAAATTATATATATAGATATGTATTAAAACGATGACTTTAAAAACACCCTACTAGGACTTTGACGAATTGCTGCAACTTGCAGAAGAAGGAGATCACCGTAATGTAGATATGTTAGTGAAAGATATTTATGGAGGTGATTGTTCTTCCCAAGGTTTACCTGGCGAACTCATCGCATCAGCTTTTGGCAAAGCGATGACTTCGAGTAAGCATGATTGATATACATAAGCCGTAAAAAAATCTAATTATCAATAAGGCCTTAGTTACAAGTGAATTTTGATATAATTTCACGAATGAATCTTTACATAACAAAATTCTTCTTTGCACAATTGGAAAGTGAAAAAATCTAACAGCTATAAAATCTGTACTAGCGTGACTTTAGATGTTAATTATATTAATAATATTCTAGGGCAATCAAAATTTTCTGATGCTGATCTTGCAAGGAGCTTACTGTTCACCATTAGCAATGATATTGGACATATAGCTAGTTTGTATGCGACCGTTTACAACGTGAACAAAGTTTACTTTGGTGGTTATTTCCTTCGTAACCATCCACTATCAATGCACACCATCTCATACTCTATCAAATATTGGTCTCATGTTAGTCTTTACATTTATTTTCTCTCAAACTTTTACAAAGTTTTCTCAATAGAAACAATTATATCTTCGAGTAAAATAATTTTATGTAATTAGTCGAAGTGCAAGATGTCTGTGCGTATATTGTACATTTGTATAAAATTACATTATTGTTATGTATCCATTGTTTAGGATAAGGTAACACCTCTCTTTCTTCGCCATGAAGGTTACCTTGGCGCGATTGGGGCGTATTTGTACGGTACCGAACAGATAGACAAGTGTAGCTGGTTGGAAAGTTACGCCGGGTCATCGAATTTTAAAGATTCGGTGTCAACCGATCTTGGAATTAAAGTCGATCAATTGGAAATTAATCAAGTAGAGTACGCTGTTACATTCTGTCCACTGTTGAAAGATCCCGCAACTTACAATCCCGATACCACAGATCTTACTCAGGATAAAGCAGCAAAGTGAGACTTTCATTTAACTTAAGAAATTATGATTATGCTAATTAAAAAATTAAAACGTTTATGCTTATAGAGACTATTGGTTGCTATGTCTTAAACACTCTATAAATAAATTTACGATGAAGGCCATTTCCAGCCAACCGCACAATCCGACGGCAAAAGACAGAGGAATCAAATTAAAGGAGCAATACATTAACAAATTACAATATCTTCGCGAGCAACCATCGTAAGTTTTTCACCGCTATGATAATTAATACGCACGTAAAAAGCCAATTTCTTTATTTATCGAGTTTTCAATTTGTAATGCAAACCTTGCAGCGCATACGGACCACTTACGGTTAGAATATTATTGGATATGGTCGGGTACTACATGAAAGAATTCGATTTCCCAGATCCCTATTTACCTGTAGGTACCTGTTTCTTTAGAATTGTTTTAAATGAACGTGTCAAAAAATTTATATGACACACCGCTTTATTTGCAGCAAAAAAGAAAGGAGAACGAAGAAGCACTGAAGCATTTACATGATCGCATAACTGCTCTAGACAAGTTTGAAGGTGCAGATAAGATAACAGCCTTGATTCTTGGAGTTCTCGGTGGTAATATGTTTGATTGGGGTGCTAAAGATATTGCAGTGCTATTGGAAAACGATAATTTGGACTTTGAACGAGCACAAGAGAAAATTCCAGGTAAGCCATCTTCATTAAGTGAAAAATTAGTATGACAACATCTAGTATTGTGAGATTTATCTCCCAATAAATTCTTTCTAATTTTTGGTGTATTTAAAAAAAATTTTTAATAACATTCTATTATAGGCAGACCGTGGCTACAAGATAATTTAGATGAATGGGTGCACAGATTACAAAATGGGCCACCTCACAATTGTGCAGCCATCTTTGTCGATAATAGCGGGGCAGATATAATTCTTGGAATCATACCATTTGCTCGAGATTTGTTGCAACGAGGGACTAAAGTTAGTTATATTAACACCATCCATATTTACAATCGAGCTTTTTAAACTACTTTTAAAAGACAAATTTGGTGAATTGATAAAATTTATCTATTAGTATTAAAATTGTTTTTATCTATGCTAGGTAATATTGTGCGCTAATTCTAAGCCAGCTCTGAATGACGTAACGTATCCTGAATTGGTCATCATATTACGGGACATTGCGAAAATCTGTAATGTTATCAAACAGGCACTAGAAGATAATACTCTTATTGTTATGGAAACCGCGCAAACGGGTCCTTGTCTAGATCTTAGGTATTCATTTTTATTATGTACACAATATTTTACAGCTGCAATCACAAATCATTATTTTACTTGTTATATAAAAGCTGTATGATAATTTACTATATTATACTGTAATAATGTTAATTCACCAATATTATTTCAACATTTAACAGCCGTCTGAATTTGGATCTATGCGTTGCAATGGTGAAGCACAACGTGGATCTTATACTCATCGAAGGAATGGGTAGAACTTTACACACGAATTTTCATGTTAAGATGAAGTGCGAGTGTCTGAAATTGGCGATCGTAAAGAATCAATGGCTGGCGTACCGTTTCGGTGGCAGTATGTATGCTGCGATATGCAAATATGACCAACCACCGTCAAAGACCAGCAGTTACGATATCGAAATGAAACCGGAGGCGGTAAAAGATGATTGCCCGGCGCGACATACAGGCGAGGCAACAGAACTTAACACATGCGACTATCCTAACGATAGAAATACAAATGAAATGTCAGTGTAAAACGAGCAATATATGATTATTTCTAGACAACAATATAGCACATTGCCTTCCGAGAAAAGAGAAAACTTAAAGAGTTACGCGCAAATACGCTTAAATTTTAGAAATATAACCGAATCTGCACTGGTGTTTAGAAACATACAGACGAAATGTGATGTGATTCATCAGATAATTATGCGTGTAATACAAGAGATTATTAAAATAATTTAATTTTCTTTAGTTTTTTTATGTTATAACAATCACACGCGAAAGTTTGTATTTACTGTATTACTAGTATATTATTTTTCCTACATTTTCAAAACATTACTGTTAATTTTACCATCTGTCTTACAAATTCAAGATCTTTTAACAATAATCTAAATATTAAGATTTAAATTACGCAAATGAAATTCTATACAATCCGTCTCATTGATTACATAACCGAAGAATATTACTTTCTTTTACCATATTTATGTATGTTAAATAAAACTAGCAAAATTTTGCAAAGCAAATGTTCATAAAGCGTTCAGAAATTATAAAATGTTCTGTATCTTATTATTTGATAACTTTCTAATTGTGAATTAATAACTTATCGCAATATACGCTTGATCAATCTCGTCCACACAGTTACACGATTAACATTTACTTTATTTTTTACCGAAAGGCTAAGATTATCAATGTACATAAACAAGCATGTCTGAACTTTACATTAATGTAAATGACTAAAATCGTTATATAAACAATTGGTTAAAGACAATAAAACAGTTTTTTATAATATAATTTGCAGTTACCATAATTATTAAAATAGTTTTTCTACGTTAATTTGTAAATACAAAATCTCTGCAGTACATATGTATAAAATACTGCATAGTCATTTTCTGTGATACTACAATACACAAAGGAAATATAATATAGCGAATGGCAAACTACAAGACATTTCTTGATGCTATAATAGTAATGTAAAATTATATTTTATAATAATTCGAATAATTATCTGGGGTAAAGCAAAAATTTATTCGATATTATGTTTCCGTAGAGAATCCGAAAATGAAAGCATTGTTTTATGCATAAATGTGTCCTAGATTTAATGAACTAATGAAATATGGAAATAGTGAAACAAAAAGTGGAAAAGTAGATAGAAGTTCCATAAGTTTTGTGGGATTAGTTCTAATGAGATTAATGAGTTCTAAGTTAAATCTATTAATTCTGTCAAATTGGGGATATGACACATCCTGTAAAAGCAATCTTTTGACGCGATAAATATAATTCTAGCCATCTCTGTACATATGTAATAAAATGTATATATAAAAGATTGTAAGCAATATACAGTGTAGATATACATATATGCATATATGCAATATTTCATTTTTTTTACGTGCATTGTAAATCGAGTAATTGTCGAGAATCTGTACAGCGTATGTACACAGAGTATCCGTTATTAAACTAAATATATATTTTTCTTTCAACATATGTTAACGCCTAAGAAAATTACGCGTCGTATCTATTATTTTCGCGAGTATGCGCAAATTTCAAGAACTGAAATTATTTTAGTCGTCTCTTCCTGTTATGGCAATAAACAAATAAATGCAATGACATTTCAATTTCTATTAAAGTTCTCTTTGACATCATAATTTTTCCCTGAATTTTCAGTAAAGATACGATTTTTTTCCATTAACCAACTGGCAACAAGCAGCTGAGAGTTAATATTCATAAAGCAGTAATTATTTTTGAATTATAATAAAACAAATACGTAATTTTTTATGTTTCCTGCGCTTTGTAAATTTTCTCAAAATGTAGTTAAATTATTTTTTGTAAAAAAAACATACAGAAGTAAGTATCGACTATTATTATGCCGTCATACCGATACAAATTGGGAGGTAATTTGTATTGTAGCATTGTTTTTAATTAAAACATTTTTAGTTGCATAATAGAATTGCATATGCAAATCAAAATGAAAATGTGTTTTTAATAACGAAGTAATGTTTTTAATAACAAATTAACTTGTGTAACTCGGTATTCTGTCTACGTATTTAAAATATTTCTCAAGAAGTTCTAATGAAATACGATAAAAAAAGATAAATTTAATAGCAAGACTCAATAATATGCAAATTTAATACAAAAAAATTTTGCATCAATTTTAGGAGTCATTTTATCCAAGAGATTAGAAGTTATAAAATATATAAGATTTCTTTCTTTTATGTCTTGTCCAAATAGTAAAATATAATGAGATAATAAAAGAAAAGGACCTTATCGGACTCTCTTAAATATAATTCACGAATAAAATAAGAAAAGGTGTCACGTATAACATCATTAAATAGCTTTCACTTCAAAAATAGTATTTGAAAATAGACTGTTTTCACGGAAAAATATAGAAAGAACCAAAGAGAGAGAGAGAGAGAGAGAGAGAGAGAGAGAGAGAGAGAGAGAGAGAGAGAGAGTCGCGGGAAAAAGAAGAGCTGGAAAATGCCGCGGACTAGGTGATAGGACAAAAACGAAGGAAAGAGGGTCCTGTGCATGCTAGACACGCTCCACGTCCATTTCTTTCAGCCACGTCCTACGCAGTGTCCAAGTCGGAGCTTTATTAAATTCCCGTTGTGCGATATTGTCCAGTCGGGAAACCAGGCCGGTGCGCGCAAGCTGACACAGCCAATTATCTCCCAATTTGTGCTGGTGTGATAATCGATACTCCTTCAGATATCGCCTCCAATCTGTATGTACTCTATGCCATTAATTCTACACAGTCACCTCATCGAGTTATTGTTACAGCCGGCTAAAAATAGAATTTCCCTTCAACGGGTCATAATTTTTATGCTATTATTTAACGAATTCTTTTTTCCCCAATTAGCAGCGTGTTGTATACCCAACTTTTTGTCCTTCATTACTTTTAACTGTCGTAAATTATAATTTTATACCGGAGAAATAGAAAGATGCAAAAGTTTAAAGATATCTTCGGAAAATATCTTCAAAATAATTCTGGACCGCTTATAACTTTTTCAAAGTTTAACACCGAGTATAAGAAAGGAATTAAATAAACGTAATTTCAAACAGACTTAAATAGATTATAGGATATAAAGATATTTAATTTAATTAATTTACGCTTGCGTGTAAATTAGTGAAATTGAAATTTTTTATTTAAAACAGTAAACTGTTTATGTAAAATAATTGTTTATATAAGAAATTTATTTGTGTTCCCGTGAACGCGCGGAAGAATTAAGCGTCGTTATTATGCGAGACCGTGTTCCGCGGGAGAGGAAAAAGTACGGGCTGTATCTTACATGAAATAAATACCTATGATTCGACGTTGCATCGAGCTTCATGAATTTTTCATCTCCAATATACCGGGCCACTCGCACGAGACGGCCAACGTGTTCTATCTCTTCGTACGAGCTTCGCTGAACATCTTCTATGTTATATTAGACGATACCGATAGAACTTTGACAAAACGAACGCATGAAGGAAATTATATCCGTCGTGACGCTTACCAATTTATACAAGATGATTAAACTTTCATAGCGCGCGTCCGTTTTATATATTGTAAAATTAAACAAAATGATGTTGGCTGACAGTATTTAAGGGATAAATTAGAAGTCCCGCGATTTGAAACGGACTGCGTCGATTTGGCTATAAGAGCACGAGGGATTTTACAAAATTGAAACAATTCGCAAAAATCGAAAAAAGACTATCAATTTCAGCTAGGTGCAATTGCAAAGCTGGCAGCTTTCACTGAGAGTAAAGCTTTCCAATAACATTTTTGTGCAAAGGAATGGTTCCGCTGGCGAATTGCATGGGCCATTGGTTAGAATAAAATTTTTCATTTTTCTAACTGGATGCTTTAAATCTTTCGAATGCGTGCAAAATGCGTATCTTCAAAGAATTACGGAAATTTTACGGACGTTTAATTAAAGTGTCGAAACAGTGCTACGTGAGCGACGTGATATAAATTGTTATATTTAATGTGTCGGACGCAGAATTGCCAAATATTCCGATTCTCGTAGGACACAATTTTGTTGTCGCATTCGCGGCCATTTAATAATTTAAATCAAATATTGCGCTTAAACATGAATAAATTAATTAATTCCAAAGTAAAAATGTTCTAATAAATGTTGAATCGTTCAAATAATCAGGTTATAATAAAGTAATAAATTGCTAAAATATAATAAATAATTGAGTGTGATAAACAATACGCGTCATTATTCATATTAGCGTGTAAAATCAGCAATCGGCAATCCCACGGAAATCACAATATATGAAAATTTCAATTAATTGTACATAAAGAGAGAAATTTCTCTGTCTACCAATAATGCACGAGTCCCGTCGTCATCGCACACAATTGTTTAATCTTCGTACGTGCGTTTAAAAAAATTTCACATGATTTACACCAGGTTCTACGAAATGGCCCGCAATTAAAAAGCCGCGCGCAATAAGCCAATTTTTGTCGGCAAACTTTTGCGTATCGCTAACACGGCGGTACTGAGCGCGAAGGGAATAAAAATTCAATGTGCGTAAAACACAACGTTTTTTCAGTTTCGCGAAACATTACAGCTTTAACGAGGAGCGTATCTGTACACGCGGGAAAGATTCTGCGCGCGGACGTAGCGCGCGTCCTTCTTTCGGACGGGATCATTTTACTTTTGTCACTGGATATTTCGAATCGATTCACCAGGCCGGAAGTGTCGCACAGTGACATTACTTCCAATATATCTCTCGATGGCGGGAGAAGAGGAAAAGGGGGAACGGGGGAAACCGCCTGTCCTTTTAATGTATTTTGATAGAACACCGCAATTCGACCAGATCAATATTTCAAACTGGGATGCGTTCTCCTGTTACGATACAATCTGATACGGATTACGAGAGGATTTTATTCATTTATTTATATTACGCAGCTGCGAAAGAGAGAGAGTGAAGGAGGGAGGGAGGGGGGGGGGGGAGAGAGAGAGAGAGAGAGAGAGAGAGAGAGAGAGAGAGAGAGAGAGAGAGAGAGCTGTGTACGCGCGTATTCATTATATGTCAAAGTATTTTATGAAAAAAAAAACGCACTTGTCATTTCGTTTCATTTCGATTTTTGTCCGTGTGTGTTCCGTGTAAATCGCACGAGACTAATCACAAATTGTTGCCAATTCTACGACCGTGTGCATTATCTGTCTAAACAATAGACAAGTTCTGTATACTACAAGAAGTATAGAAGCACGAAATAAAATAATAGCTAATTTTTCAGCAATCTGCCTCAGAGATTTCTGAATAGAATTTTATTATATAATTTATAATTTCATTGCATAATTTATAATTGTATACGCAGTGTATTTTAATATATATTTTATTGCAATATATATTTTGTACATACGCGCGTACTATTGTTTCTCCAAATATTTTTTTTGTATTACACGGCGCGTAAAATTTTTGATGGAATTCCGATTTCTGATCCGAATTGTAGATCGTCTAGTGAGAGCTTACGAGATTTTATAAACAACCTGGATGGACAAATCCCGTAAATAAAATGAAATATGTATCCCAATACGAATTCGTATCCCGCACAATTCAAAGTGTCGAATGATGTTTTAATTAACAAAATTAAATAATATGATTGTTGGTATATCGAACATCGTGAAAGCACGGCTCTCGTGTATGGCGCCATTAAAACGGTTGATAGTCGCGATAATACAAAATGCATTTAACGGCCGCGATAAACTAAAATACTTTAATGGTCGTATAAAATGATTCGTTAATCGCGATAACGTTCCTTACTGCTGCACCAATTGTATTAATACTTAATACCGTTCTTTTTTTTATCGTACACGCGGGACTCGATCGCATCTCGCGAACCTGCGATGCTCTTTTCAAAATGCGAAATACAGAACGTGCGTAGCACGTTTAATCGTTTTATATTATTGTAACGTTATAGCGTATTATTAACTCGTCGCCGTGTTATCGTACGAGATATGGTTATCGGAGAGTTATTATGACGTTATCGGGTATTCTTGCGTTTTGCGCTTGCACCCCCCGGGGCAAATGATTAAAGCATCGATTGCGGAACGTTCGATTCCACGGTGAACGGAGCTAATATGCGGGGGGGGTGCGCTTTATGCATGTTTAAAGACGGAAGAAAGCCCCGGTTTTCGGTCGGTTGATTAATGCGATTCACAGCCGCGCTCGCGCGCGATGATAACGGCAGGATGCGTTCTCGAGGCGGGGCGGAAGAGAAGGAGAAAGAGGAAGAAAGCGAAAAAGAGCGGGAGAAAAAAGGGAGCCGGACACCCGATTAATTATTTCAATTTTCCATAGCGATGCGCCCGATGAAAAAGAACGGGAAGCAACCAGCGGCGACTATAAACGGCCGCTTTTATTCCGCCGACCCCGCACCGATCTGCTTTCTATTTTTTTTTTCTTCTTCCTTTTTCCTCGTTCTCGGGGGGGAGGGGGGAAGGGTGTTTTTTTTGGCGCCACCGCCGCCACGGTGGATCCCTACCTAATGGTCCTTTCTCGAGTCCGGACTGGCGGGAACCTGCTGCAACGTTTCGCGCGAGGATCTATTTATCAAGGTCCTGGACGCCGCGCGGCCAGCGCGAGATAAATAATTCCGCTTCGCCCGTTGGTATCGCC